CGGCATAGGAATTGCAGAAAGAGAACATTTTTTAGGAGCTCCAAAAAATATGTTTTCGTTCTGGATTTCCATACATGGATAAACTTTTGGTAACGCTCTCAACATTTCCTTCAAGTGAATTTTTCGATATTTTGGACCCCTGAAAATGTTCTCCATTGCAATTTCTGCAACCGTGTTGCAACCGCACGCGTCTCTCATGCACCTCCCCCTCTATGTGCACGAAATCGACAAATTGTAATTGTGTAGTGATTGACGTACATTTTTTGTCCTTATTCAAAAACAATTAGCAGTACCTCCTCCTCGATGAATAAATCAGCGGTTTCCAATTTGTCTTCGCCAATCAGCTCGAAATTCTCACGCCACACGGTTGATTCGGATTCCATGTCGGACACCGTTTCCTCCCGTACAACAGGGGATCTTAATCAATCAGTATCGATTGATCATATAGTATCATGTCATCATATACTAAGATCATTAACTTACATTCTCTTTATTAAGCACGGACTGATGATGGTCGAATCTGTTCCGCCTGGACTTCGTTCTCGATTTGTGTTTACCAGCAACCTGAAGATAACCAACTACTAGTGAAAAAATTTGTTCCTTCCAAGGTTGATGGGGTTCTCATTTGAGGCTAATTCTAACATACAGACCTCTGGGATCGTATGCGGCACTCTTCTGCTCAGCAGAGGAAGGAACCCTCTAAAATGTTTTTTTTTTGGAGCACAAGACTCGGTACACCTTGTTTCTTTTGTGCGATTTTCACGACGCTTGCCAGCACATTCGGTTCTTCACAAATTGGCGTCTCACTGTCTGACTTTTGACTGGCGAACACATCGTGAAGGGACTGGAGCATTGACTGGTGTGACACTCCTAAAAATGAAAAATTTCGGAAGGAGGAAGAGGGAGCAGGTATGTGAACCAGGGTATCCTCACCAACATCAACGGTGACCCGGCTAGCCAGCGGTATTCGGCCGAGAAGTTGCTCTAGGGATGGTAATGGCGCCGGCTGAATGGATGGCGTGCTGACCATCAGTGAAGAACTGCAGCGCTCCTGCAATGGGATCATTCCACGAAAAAATCTATATGGGTAACATTCTGTAGAAATCGAGTAATTATGCAGAAAAAGCCTTGACGAAGGACGAAAACAGGCCCATGCCCGAGAATGATCAAGTGGTCGGCACGCGCGCGGCCGCCTCGCGGCCACCTCAACTGTAATCACAATTAGAATTTGTCGATTTCGTGCACATGGAGGGGGAGGTAGTATATGAGAGACGCGTGCGGTTGCAACACGGCCACAGGAATTGCAGAAAGAGAACATTTTTGGGAGCTCCAAAAAATATGTTTTCGTTCTGGATTTCCATACATGGATAAACTTTTGGTAACGCTCTCAACATTTCCTTCAAGTGAATTTTTTTCGATATTTTGGAGCCCAGACAATGTTCTCCATTGGCAATTTCTGCAATCGTGTTGCAACCGCACGCGTCTCTCCTGCACCTCCCCCTCTATGTGCACGAAATCGACAAATTCCAATTGTGTAGTGATTGAGGTCATTTTTCTTTACTCTTATCAATGTTACCGAAAGGCGCCACAAATGGGCTTGCGCATTATAAGGTAAGCCATGGCTGGTAGGTGAGAGATAAGCCGTTTAGACAGAGCGAGCACCCGAAGTAAGCGTGAATTACGATGTTCCTGCCGTAGTCACGTACAATGCGCGTCGCATCGACGCGATTTCCACGCAATGACAATCCTATAGGTTATGCTCACAATGAGGCTACCCCGCTGGGCAGCAATCCTAGGGAGGTTATCACCGGGTGCCGCGCTAGACTAGGCGCGAGGCCACTCTGGCGTGCGTGCCATCCTCCACCTCCTACATGAACGGCGCTCAGTATAGTTGGCGGGTTGGCTCGACATATTCTCTCTCTTTGAGAGAGCGCAGAGAAAACGAATAGTGGGAGGCGAGCACGCACTTCAGCGCGTCAATGCGTCGCGCATTGTACGTGACTACAGCAGAACATTATAATTCACGCTTTACTTCGGGTGCTCGCTCTGTCTAAACGGCTTAAGTCTCTTTGTGAGGCGAATGGGTGAGATGCTTGCGCGCGACCCATGACACGGACGTGAATTACGTCGTAAGTGGTAACTAAACACGTGCGGGTCTATTGGAGTGTACAACTCGTCCAACACGCCCTCCTCATTCAGTCTTGTGAGTATGAAAGGGTGTTCTTGTTTCAAGACTTTGGCGATGACGTCATTTAACGTCAATGTTGATGGACCATGAAGCATATCGCACTGAGAGGTTATGATTGAGATCTCGCTCTTTAAGGATAGCGAAATCCAAGATTTTTGGAGGGTTTAGAGGACGCGGGGGTGCTCAATGGACAACGAGTAACGAAGCATAGAAATCCGTCAAAAAATATACAAAGTAGTACCCCCTTAGTTGGTGATTCATTTTCGACCATGGAATAGCGCCGAATAAGAGAGAAGCTGTTCGGGCGTGGTAACCCCGGTGGCCGCCATCACGACAACAAGCATAGTCGTTTTGACCGATTCGCTCAATAGGAAGTTGTGAACCAAAGTAAACGAAATGATGGCGCTTTCCACGACAAGGTACTCTGGTTGTGCGAAGCAGCGACTCGAAGCACTCCGCGAAAGCGTTCGCAATACAAGCGCTAATGGGAATAATCATCCAATTAAACTTCAATCAGGAACAGCTATGCCAGGATCAATTGAAATAGCGGGCGGGTAACGCGTTTGGACGAGTGCTTCGAAGTCTTGTCAGCAACCAGTTTGGTACCCTCGTCTTAACTGTTATCATAAGAACCGCAAACGGCTCCAGTCCTTGCTTTGCAGGCCAACGCCAGACAACTGCCTGGCGAGCGGCGGTTGGGCGAATGAACACATCTGGAATTCACTTTTTTGTGTAGTCTCTCTACTTCAGCACATTTTTGTTTGACTTTGCTGTATTTTGACCAATCCCTGTCTTGTTCAGCAGTTCTTAGAAAAAAAAAACATTTAGGGTTTCTTCCTCTGGGTTTTTTTTTTTTCTTTTTACTGAGCAGAAGAGCTGCCAATACGATTCCAGAGGCTGTATGTATAGAATTAGCCTCAAATGGGAACCAATCAACGTGGCAAGGAACACATTTTATATTGTAGTTAGTTAGATGTATCTTCAGGTTGCTGGTAAACACAAATCGAGAACGAAGTCCAGGCGGAACAGATTCGACCATCATCAGTCCGTGCTTAATAAAGAGAATGTAAGTTAATGATCTTAGTATATGATGACATGATACTATATGATCAATCGATACTGATTAATTAAGATCCCCTGTTGTACGGGAGGAAACGGTGTCCGACATGGAATCCGAATCAACCGTGTGGCGTGAGAATTTCGAGCTGATTGGCGAGAAACGTTGGAAAATACCGCTGATTTATTTCAGCGAGGAGGAGGTTTTTTGATCTGCTGAGGCTTACACGCATCTTTGTAGACATCCTACTATATTATTATCGGCTAAGCGGTTGTGTGTGTGTGTCTGACCGGAAATTCATAACTTCGTTCCCTTTGATCCCAGAGCGCTCAAACTTCTAGGGTATATAGGGGGTCGGGCGTGAACACTGATGATGGGTGGCGGAAAGTGATAAGTACTGATAGAAGCTGATAACGGGCGTCAGAATGCCGATGTCACCAACTTCCTTACGCCGTTCGCGTTGGCAGTGGACTGCTAGCACTCATGAATATTGTGTAGGGTAGGACTGGGACCCAAATGGTGAGCGAAGGAAAGTGATAGCAAATGATAAGGGCTGATAAAGGGCATCGGAATGCTAACGTCGTCATTTTCGCAACGCCCTTTGCGTTGATCCTAAGATGTTCGCACTCATGAATATTATGTGGGGTGAGGCAGGGACCAAAAGGGTGATTGGAAGAAGGTGGTAGCAACTGATTAGAACTGATAAGGGGCGTCAAAGTGTGGATACTACCAGTTTCGTTGCGGCTTTCGCGGTGACATTGGAACCTTGGCTGTCACATGTGGTATAGGGGATGGGACGGAACACGGATAGTGGGTGATCAAAAGCGATAACAACCGATAACGGTTGATAAAGAAGTTAGGATTTTGAGTACCGCTGATTTCGTTGTAGCCTTCGTGGTGACAGTAAATATTAGCTCCTACACGCTACAAGATGGGACGGAGATACGGTGAATGTGGGTGACAGAAAGGGGTATGAAAGGCAGGTGCACTAATAAAAATAGCGACAATTGAGTGTGCACTCGGTTAAACTTAACCAGATTCCTAGCACGGGAATATGTTCCATTTCCACCCTTTCATCTAAAAAAGCAAAGGAAGTTGAGCTGATCCACTATCTGGACTTGGACTAATAGCGAATAAAATCATATTTCCAATTTCCATCATTGGTTGATGCTGATTGATTGGTTATATTTCACTTACACACCGATTCTTCAATTGTGGGAATTTATAAACCACTAAATCGCCCAAGCTCGATATCAATGCTAAATGTTTACGAAGTCATGATAAGTACCATTCTCATTCCGCATGCTACCACGCGCATTACGCGACAGTCTCGGCGAAACTGGACAACCTTCAAAAAGTATGTGACACATCTTCCAAAACATCTTACTATTAGTTTCTCAGTCACATGATGACCTGATATTCTGCAAGTTGTCCAGTTTCACTAAAGCCCACCATTTGATGCGCGCGGTTGCGTGCGGAGCCATGGTTCTATGATATGCTGGAAAGAGCAATAC